ATGCTCATTGTTAGATCTGAGTTTAGCTCTTCCCCCTTTTTCGTAAGAGTAAAAACAATCATGCAAGTGATGTTCCTGCTTGATATTCTGATACTGAAAAAAATGGTATTGCCAAGGTAATTGGATAATATGATTTTCTTAAGAGCATGAAACAGCTTTATCTCAGGTATCTTAATGCCATTAATCCTCTAAGGCAGCATATACCGTGCATATGCACTTGTGTGCAGTGTAGTATGTGACCTTGCGAGACCCAATATTGGCCATTCAAACCAAGTAAGAGCCTGTGGGAAAATTTGTGCAGCCCTCCTGACTGAAAAAAATAAAAGAGCTGGAGATTCACATAGACACTTTTCCCATCATTTTTCCAGATCAACAGAAGGAAACACACTACAGAATGTTTGGTACCATATGTATAGAAACAGAATGCATGAAATAATGTGATCAATTTTATTTTTGTAATTTGTAGTTTTAAGAGAGCTTTATGTTTTACTCTTTTCCCCCGATATGAAACACTAGTGTGAGAGTGCATTGCATTGTCTGCTATGAGCTGTTAGAGCCATTCCTTTTAGGCACCAAGGAAGGCACTCTGGAAAGGAGGTCACTTCTTTCAGTAGACATCGCTTGAGGTATTTGACTGTAGGCACAGAAGTATTAAAATGTTGACATTATTTTGTCTGCCTGTATTTTCTAAAGAGCAAAATAGGTAAAATGAAAGGAAATGCTGAGCTTTAAGGTTTTTTTGTCCTACTCAAGTAATAGACAGAGAGTGCTCTGAGATCCTTTCATAAAAAGTGTTACAAGTGTTAATAGCCAAAGCAAAAATCTACTACTTTTAAAGCATTTCTTTACCTTGCAAGTGCTCTCTGCAGTTACAGTGTCATACTGTTTTCTCCTGCTCCAACTTCTGAAATCAGGGGTTCCGACTTTTGTGAAACTGAACTAAGATAAAGGGGAACTGGACCCAAAACTCTTACTGAAAAGAAAAAAAAAGAAAGAAAAAAAAAGGAAAAAGAAAAAAAAAAGCCACTCAGCCTTAAATATCTGCAAGAAAACTGAGCAAACTATTTAAATAAAATAGCTTTTAAATCAAATATCCATTACATTCTTCTACTGCAGCTTTGTCTAAGCAGGCAAGATAGTTTGTACAAACACTCTGACTTCCTCAATGTGTTGACTGAAATTAAAAGCATATCTGGGTTGATATTTTAGACCGTTCTCCAAATCTGGAGGTTTTTCTTAACCGTAGCCATCCTTGTCTCTTTGACACATACTGGGTTTACCCCTAAACCCATAATATGGTGATGGAACTTGGGTTGCGTTTGTATCATTTCCTTAACTTCCAGTGTACAAACCAGCCAGCGGGTTTGTGGCACTCGCTGAGCTTTTGCCCCTGCTCTCTGTGTGAACAGCTCAGCGTTCTTTTCCTGCAACTAGAGTGTTTAAAAGGTGGAAACACGCTAAAAGGGTGCTTCCTACTGAAAAGGTAGTGTGCTGTTTTTCAGTGGTTGCTCACTTCACTGAGTGAGCAGAGCACAAACTGGAAACTCCCTCTCGATCACATCACGCAAATTGTGGGGCTAGAGGAATGCATCCAAAGCTCATCACAGTGCACTGTGTTTGCATGTGTAAATAGGAAGTTTTGTGGTAAGTTCATTGCAACCAGCTTTCCAAACTTGGCCTGTTGTACCTAAATCCTTTTGAAAAGCTTTGGGATAAAAGGTATCGTACATATGTATGGGGTTATTGATAACAGACCTCAAGTATTCCACAGTTATAGTGCCCACAGCAACTATCTGTCATCACTTGTGTTGAACCCATAAACTACAGCATCAAATTTAACAGTATGTCTATGATTTAATAAAACTACAAGTGTTCAGCCTGCCTGAATTATGGGTGCTGTATGAGCATTGTAACTTTAACTACCCTGACTTTTTTCTCAGTTAAAGACACCAACCTTAACATTATACTAACATATTTTATTTAGTGCATTAAAGATTAATTCATTAATTTGTTTTAATGAGAAAAAGCAAAGATCTTTAAATAAAACATAATGAATAAAATATTAAACAGATTAAAGTGCGTGTCCTCTGAGAATTCACAGATTCTCTACATACTCTGACTTAGATATCTAATATCTGCCTGAAAACTGATTGGAAATACACTATTACAGGTTTAAAACTTCTGACTGAAGTCCAAGTATGTCATCAAAATGTCAGCAGAGTTTGAACACACAAATCTGTGTTAACTTCTTTTTTATACGAGTGATTTGAAAAGTCAAGGTTTTACAGTTGACATGCAGGAGCTATAGGTTCCAAAATGTATGTGAGGGGTGGTATGAATATAGATTGTGTTTTCACTATTTGATGATGTTATAGGCCTAGAACCAATGCAAGAATAAGACCTGAAAAAATATTATCCTCTGTCTGTCACAAGTGGCTAGAGGAGGATTATAAAATGCTTGGTACTCTTGTATGTCAAAAATCAGAATAAAAACCACTGTTACAAGTATTACCTTCAATTGCGCTTTACAAACGTATACAAACCATGAAAGCATCAACTTTCCAGATCTGGGGTCTAGGCATAAAGTTAGAAGCCACAGAATTGAAACATGGCTTTTTGTTGTTTTTTTTATTTTTTATTTGACATGGAAACGTAACAGGGCCATATATTCAGTCCTGTTTCTCCAGTGGGTTCTGTTAGCACTTAGTACTCAGTCTGTAATGCTCCAGTTCTTTGTTAGCATCTCACCCCTTTCTAGAAGAATATTTGAAGTTATTTTAAGTTTTTTTGAGTTTATTTATTCAATTACTTCCTATAGCTACACAATTCTGCATGCCATTGTTCAATAAGAAAACTGGACTTTGAAATATATTCCTGCCTTATGGAATTTATATTCTTGAAGCCTAGACAAATATCAAAAAAATAATTAAAAAAAACCCAGCAATAATCTTTGCGTGCTGCTAGAATATAAGAATTTAAGTGTTTCACAGAAGACGAGTTACCGGAGTCATTACCTAAAGGAGAGATATTTAAAGAAAACATAGAAATTTACTTTAAAAAGTCACAAGGAAAGAATTGGTTAAAAAAAACATGGAGCAACTCAGAAGGAAGTCTGAGTCCTGAGAACGAAGACTGAGTCATAAGAAGAAATGTTGATAAAGATGCAAGCTAGAGTAAACATCCAGGATTAAATCTTGAGTCCTCTGAAGAAAATATCAAAGCTCCAAGTGAGTTTATCAAGGCCAGACTTGACCAAGAGAGATCTGGGAGAAAAGAGAGAGCTTAGACTGAGTACAAGAGGAAAGAAGGACTTCTTTGAGCCTGGAAGTTCAAGGAAGGCCCTAAATAATGATGTCAGGATCAGGAAAAGAGTCAATGAAGAAAGAAAGTTGGCAACCTCTTGGGTTTGAAATCAGCAGGATGCAAAGCAATAGCATGGCTTATGAATAGCTTGGTTAATTAATTATAATTAGTAATAAGCTCATGAATGCTGAGGACCATTAAATATCTTTGTTCTTTGTATAGCACAGTGGGTTTTGGATTGCAGTTTATAGCAGCATAGACAGATAAAATGCCATAAAACTTTGACCTGCATTGACAGTAGCATTTGCAAGGCCTTGCAGCCTCTGGACTTAGGCTTATGTTTGTAGTGGGGATCAACAGCTGAGCCGTTAGCTAACAGTCCAGTGTTTCAGTTTTGTTTTTCTAAATGAGCTGGCATGTAAATGCTCTGGCTGAAGTTTGGGAAGCAACAGATACACAAGACAGTCATCAGAAGTTAAATGTTGTTGAAGAGCAAATTTTTCGTAGAAAAGAGACACTCGGTGATTATCCTGGTAGATGCTGGTATTCGTAAGCTGTAGGACAAGTTTTAGCAACCCAGATTTGGCTTGTAAGAGTTTCTGAGCACTGTAGCTGCAGCTGGCATTATAGAGTTGATTCACTGAGAATAATCAGAAAGGTAACAAACTAAAAATTCACAAGTACTTTTATTTAAATCTAACACAAAATATGTTTAACTAAAAAACCCTTTTGCAGTTTCACCTGTACTATAAAAGTGGGGTTTCAGCAAAATAACCTCAGGACAACTCCTTCAAGGACCCTGCTCCACTGCATGTTGTTTCTGCTGTTACAGGAAAGAGAAGGGTGTTGGTTTACAATGGTCAGAAGCCCCAAGAGCAGAGGAAGGGAGAGGATGGGTGGGCAAGAGCAACATGCTCTTGTCCTCTGCTATGTCCCAAAATCTCATGAATGCACGTTCACAGTGTACCAGATTTCCAATGCAAAGAACGGACAGCGCTTACTTCAGACTAAGAGAAATAATGCACATCCATAAGAAGAAAAAGAAAGGAATAAAGAGTTGTATGACTCAGACACTCAGTCTAACATAATTCAAAAGGAGGATCCCTGCAAGCTGGCAGGTGCTCATTCGCACTAATTATGCTATAGAAGCAATAGTGGTATAATTTCACACTTGCAAACCTACTTTTGTGATGATTAGTACATAGCTCCACTGATTTGAAATGTATCTTGAACGAAAATCATCATGGTGAGTGCAGCTATGCACATGCTGTGTGAAAAGATTATGATATAAGGATTCATATTTCATCTTTTGTGCCTCCCTAAAGGTGTTCAATATGTTGAGCTGAACCAAAAATACCCTGATCTGGATTGTATATGCTTTGAATGAAAACCATCAAAAAACCAGATTTATCCAGCCCAGTATTAGACCTCACTATGCTATGTCAGCATGTTTGCTAGAAACTTCCCAGATAAGTAGTAGAAAATAACAAGCAGCTCCAGAGGTGCTTGTGACTACGCAGGGGGAGAACTGCGCCTCCACCTCAAACAGCAACCCGTGGTCAAATGGGAATGAGGATGGGCCCTTGGCCATGAGAGTTTTTGTTATGGCTCTGTTGTAGCTTAGCACAGTCAAATCTTGTTGTGCAATTACATAAGGGAAGAGTGTACTAATAAGAGAATTGTGTTTATCACTTCAGGTACCTCAAGATGAATGGTCTGGATACACTCCACGGGGGAAAGATGATGAGATTCCCTGCCGACGAATGCGTAGTGGCAGTTACATCAAAGCCATGGGGGATGATGACAGTGGAGACTCAGACACAAGTCCGAAGCCATCTCCAAAGATTGCTGCACGAAGAGAGAGCTATCTCAAGGCCACCCAGCCATCCCTTACAGAGCTCACCACCCTCAAGTAAGTCTGTGTTTCACTACATCTTATAGAGCTCTCCATTAAGACACACAGTTTCTGTTCCTATTTGTTTCTACTCTTTACTTCTAGGTACCAGTTAAGGAAAGCATTTCAACAAGTGTGTTCAGTCATGCTTATTTTTGGTTGGGTTTTTTTCTGAACAAGGGTAGGTTTGGGAATGTATTTCAATGTTATTCTGAAATGAGACCCTACAACCTGCACTTTGAATTTGCAAAGTATTTCAACCTCTAAGTGTTAAGTGAGTATTCAGGTACATAGAATAGGTCTGTTCTTTAAATACTTCGCTGAATTATAGCTTTGACCTGTGAAAGCTTTGCATAATTGTGTATTTATATATACTCAACATGTGAAATTAGCCCCAAGCTAGTCTTTGCAACTCATCAGAGAGCATCTGACATTTAATTAAAAAGAACAATGACTATTTGAAAATAGACAAATCCATGGTTTCCACTCTTTAGTTCACTCAGAATGGCACTGTATTTTGTGGAGAAATATAACCAAAACTGAAATTTTTTAATTGTTTATGAAAGCTTTAGTCAAGAGGAATGATTAATTTATGCTTTTTTAATGTAACTTTCTGTTTTTCTTTTATTTGGCCCTTTTAAGAGAGCCACCCAAATTCTCATGAAAATTGCACAAAGATACAATTTTGGTATTAGTGTTTTATTTTAATTTATTCTAAAATGGAGAGGTCCCCTAAAGCAAGAAAATAAATTATATCCATAAAAGAAAACAGTGTGGTTTTAAATCAACAATTGTTTCTGTCTGTCTTCTGCAAAATTCGTAGCTGTAATAGTGAATCATAGTTCACTGAACCAAAAATAACCTAATTTTAGTATAACTTGCCTAAGGCTGTAGCTTTAAAATGGAAAAAAAAAGAGCTGTATCTCTTCTAGTATCTGTGATTAGTGACTAAAGACTCCATCTGCATTTCCCTCATTAATTTCCTCTCCTTCCTTGTCCTCCTCTACCCCATTTTTTTTTTCCAGAGACCTTATCTGAGAAATAGATTTTAGAGAAAAGCGTTTGATCCTTGTTAAGAATGTCGTGCTCTTGACATCAGTGATGAATAGACCAGAAGACACAAACTTGCCTATTGCAGCCAATAGCAGCCTGCCTGACTTGGTCTCATGGGAAGCTAGGAATTGCTTCTGCTCTGTCTTTCCATTCGTGTCCCAAGGAAAAAGTAGTCTCATTTTCTGAAGGGATTTTCATAAGCTGGCTGGCAGTTACTCAAGGGATCCAGTGATTCCTCTCATCACCCAGCAGACTTTACCACATCCTTTCCTGAGCCAAAACTCCTCTGAGATCAGTTATTGCAGCCTCTGCAAGGTGAACATAAATGTTACGTACCACCACAAACTCCATAAAGCCATGCTTTATGCATGGACACACTATCAGGCACGGAGCTTATTCTTTTTGAGACTTTAGAAACATATGTTCCGTTGTTCCATAATATATATTTGAAGTGCAATGCATTACAGTGAGTGTATTTGCTCTTGGTCATTTCTGTTCTCTGTAGATATAAGATTTGCAAAAGAATATGGAGTTATTAAAAATAAAAAGTCCTGGATGTCACTGTTCACCCACAGAGGATGTCAGATCAGGGGGACTAGGCAGCATAAGCTTTGGGGTTTAGCTTTGAAGTCACTGTAATTTAGCGCAAAGTGCTTGTACGAATACTTCATGTCACATATGTTTTTTAATTCCTATTCAGGAAGGCTTTTAGGAATGTACTTAATTTTAAGTTGCACTCTGTAAGATTCATGTAAGTTTAGGAACTATGCAGAAGTAGGATGTAAATCACAGGTTAGAAGAAGGAAGGGGGAAATGATAAATGGTAGTAAAACAAAAAAGAAGACATAATATGAAATAACTTTTCTTTTTCAATGACTTTTCAGCATAAATTGGGATGAAGTAGAATTATTTCTTTTAATCTATGATGATACTTTATAGAAATATCTCTTCCTGGGAAACCTTTCCACTTTCAGAGACAAATTGTATAATACATAATTATGCATTGCTTTTATTCCTTTCTGCTGAACATGATAATTTGGGCGGGGTTTTTTGTGAGAACTAGCCAAGTGCTTGCTCTGGGAATTGAACTGTTCTGTTAAACTAAGGTATTTTTGCAGACTTCTTCATACTTTCTTAGTAGCGTGACTTGACCTTGACTGTGACATTGCTTGTTCATCCCAGGGCTACCCTGATTACCCTGAGAGCTGTGACAGAGTTTTGCTGGCATCTCAGCTAGAGACTAAATTAGGGCCCCTCACTCACTGAATATAGGTCATCAAGCAATTGTGTAATGTGTGATAACAAGTTATTTCCTTGGCTTACTGTTGACTTGAGTTCAATTTGCACCTGAATAAGAGCTTTATGGAAATATGCCAAAATCCACTCCAGTCAGCAGGCAGCCCTTTACTGACACTAGTGGACTTTCCAGCTGACCTTGCAGGACATTATTAGCACCTTAAAGCTGAGTGGTATTTCACTCCTTTAATTATGCTTTTTCTGTCGATGAAGAACAAGACACCTTGTGAAAGTGGTGTTTCTACAGTGGTCATTGTCAGGGTTCTTCTGCGCTTCTTTCTGCTACTCTCTGTTTTCTGTATGCAGTCTCTAGTTGGCTTAACTTTCATCTTCGGCAGAGCAAACAACTTAAAAACATGTTCCTTTTTGCTTTCACTGCTGGTTTTGAAGGGATTTTTCATCTTGTGGGACTTTTTCTCTCTGAGTACTTTAAGTCTAATATTGGTCTCTCAGCCCACGCTGTTCCTCCCACCTACCTACCTACCATTGCTCATGCGCCTACTCTTCTGAGAAAGGGTTTTCATTACTACCAATGTTTCTTTTTATATAAGGCATAACTTTCAAACAGCACAACTGTGTCATATCTCCTTTACGTAACACAAATTTATTTTCCTGGTTTTTGCTGAGGTTTTTTTTTTGCTCTGCCTTACAATCTCCCTCCTACAATATTCCTCCCATGCCATGGTTTCCATGTGGTTACAGCACATGTGTCAAATGCTGTGGTACCATTCTGAATAAAGCACAGCTTGCTGTGATCTTGAAATGCACACCTCCGCTGCTGCACTCTCATTATCCTACCAGGAAGTAAGCAGCTTTTTCTCTCTGTCTTTGCTGGCAGCATCCTCATGGTGTTTAATCTTTCACAGTCTAGATAAACAGATCCAGCTGAAAAAAAAGTGACATTTTCTTGCCCGTTCCTGAAAAGTGACAAAAGTTTATCTTGCACTTGTAAGCAGATGGAGAATGGACTGGTTAGCTAACTTCAAAAGAAGGTGCGGGCAACAGATAACTGACATTTCCATTACAGCTGAGCTTGATTCAGAACATTTTCCTTTGCTATCTATATGTACCTTGGTTATGTTTAGCCTGCTTTTTGTTGGGAAAAAAGTATGCAATTACGTTGTCTGTCCACATGCCAACCTGTCACCTCCACCTCCCAGTAGGTTTTGAAGTTGTTGGCCAACTTTAAGCAAGTTTGCTAGAGAGACTGAAGTCTGAAAGATATGAAGTTCCAACAAACTTTATGAAGTTCTGTAGCTGGATAAGACAGAGAAAGATCTGCAGCCGTCCCTTACGATCTCTTGAAGGAGTATGGGCAAAGTAGGTGGTCAGTCAGCACGAGGTGTAACTTGATGGCAGCACTTTCCCAGCCTAAAAGATGAGGAATATGGAAGGGACTGGAAAACTTTGTTGAGGACAAGTCTGAGAGATGGATCCTGTTACCATAGTTTTTCTACTCCATTCTGCCCCTTTCCTCTTCTCCACTGCATGCACACTCACTGCTTAAAATATGGGTTCAGATTCTGCTTCCTAACTCAATATTGCTGCTCTTGTGGGGATTTCAGCCACTTGAGTCTTCTGCGCTTCTTTTTTTTTATTGTTTCTAAAATATTACTGTACTTAATGGTAATCCTTTTTTTTTACATTTTACATGGATTTTGGGCTATATACAGTTGTAGAATGGTTCCTTTGAACTCTTATTTTATCATACAAACTTTTTTCTGAGACAAGTTGTACTCTCTGATCACCAGTGTATTGACAATTTCGATGATCTCAATATTTTGGAGTTGCATTTGTAGAACTCATGTAAAAAGGAGAGGAGAAAGAACGGAAATTTGTTCTTAACAAATTTTTTTTTCCAAGGTATTTTAATAGACACATCATAGTTTTCCAGTCAGCTGTGACTTGGAGAAACACAATTATAAACACCACAAACACTTTTTAATGGGCACCAAGTTACACCACTGATGATGAAAGCAAAAAGCATTAGGCTTTTCTCCTTTTTATCCCATGGCAAAGAATCCATCTGCATAACTTCCATCATAGCTGCATCTATTCCTGTGATTTACTGCACAGATAAGTGATACTTAGAATAAATCAACCAATTCCTAACTTTAAAGTTTATCAGAGACGTTCCAAAAATAGTATTTCATAATATGTGCATGTTATTTGTGTACAGTCAGGCTTATATTTTTTATGTGCTAATACAAATAGCTTAAGTACTTTCTACTCCTCGGTTCATAGTAATCTGAAGATAAAATTGTTTTGAAAATCACAGTGCCATTTTTCTTAATATCCTATAAAATCACAGCAAACGATCAAGCTCAATTAAGAGGCAGAATCTGGGAGCAAACTTAATAACAGTGTCAAAAGCAAGAAGAAAGACGTAGATCTGATTTATACATCCCAAATTCCAAAGTTTCATCACCTGTCTGAGAACTGACCAGGTCAGTTCCTGGAAGACAAGCCTTCAAGCTAGGGTCAACCTATATTACAAATCAAATCTTGACAGAGTTGCAGGACCACCTCTGCTAGGATGGCTTGCAAAAAAAATCCAACCACCCCACTGTTACATAGCATAAGACGGTTCAGATAGAAAATCCCCTGCTCAAGTCAAAGAAATTAAAAACAAGATAGTTTTATAATCTGCAAATCTCCCAAATAATTTT